GCGCCAGCAGCACTTTATAGGTCTGCTGTATGGGACCACTTTGCATTTAGAGTGACCTACGATGACGGCGGAAAGAAAGCTGTGGATAAAAGTGCAACAGTGTGCGAGCATTGTGCAACACGTTTTGTTTATGTTAACAGCAACACGACAGATAGTGTGCATTCACAGAATAAGACAACTAGCTACAACGTAGGACGGCCTTACGTAAACATATTCCCAGAATGATTGACAGTTAGGAGGACCACTTATTTAGAGGATCCACTCAGAAATAAAATATCATCCTCTATACCTTTAATTATCAATACTTTTCGGATTATCACTATTTTAGACAACTCCAATTGATACTAAATATTTTCAAGCAGGTTTTCTTACCCTTAAAGGAAAAATTTGTTATCAGTTGTCTTTGTCACAGCTTAGATTTAAAGAATACTGGGCAGTATGGACTGATGGCATCAAGACAAGAATGTCCAAATTCCTACTGGTCTATAGATACATCGGTAAAACAAGGAAACTGTGCTTGTACGAGTTGTCTAATATTTTCCTGAGGAAGAACATACAGAGTGAGCAGAATAAGTCCAAGAACATAACCCCATGTAACACCATACATGACTTTGGCATAAGGTGATTGATTATGTACAAAAAAGGAAATCTAGTAGCAATGGGTCAAGGATCCAGAGTAAGATTATTGGATCAACTTTAAATCAGTAACTAGGACAGACTGACCATTTTGAGCACAGAGCCACTTGTGTTAAAACCTCTTTCAAGAAGCAGCATATTTGATCTACTCTGTTTATCTCAGTTGATTAAATTGAGTATATATGATATTTTCACCACCCGGTTTGTGAAAACACTACAACTTAATAGGATCAAGAGAATAACATAACATTCCTGTAGAAACCTCGATCTAATTAGTTGAACTCCCTCGTTGAGGGTCTCCTGGACTGTTGAAGTATTTGTCCCTCTCATCTCAGCACCAGGCGAGCTTGGTGACACACTTTTCTCACTTGCCCACCACTCTGCAGAGTTGGGGCAATCAGTGTTGCAGCATGTGAAAAATAAACACAGAGGCAGAGGAGGAAGGAGCAGAGTTAAATTCAGCCTGCAGAAGAAGATGTTAGCAGGAAAACAAGACATTCTCCTAAAAAAAAAGTAGGATGAAGATGTTGCTTACCATCGTTACAAACTGCAATGCGGTAAAGGGTCACCTAGATAAGCCCCTGCTTTATGTCCCACTACTCTTATTGTAAAGAAGACTTTTGATATATTAAACAGGTTGTCTCCTTGTAAACACAAGGAGCAGCAATCACCTCCTGTGTTGTAATGAACCTTACATGTAACGCCTCTACTCTGCGCCCACCACCACGTTTATTCTGCTTTTATGTCTGTGAGGGTTTGTGAGCATTCCTAGTGAAGACAGGGACGCTGCAACAGTGAGAAAATTCCCATTGATGTCTTTATCTGGATCTAGTGTCGTCCTCTTAATCAGCCAGGTATGCACCATATCATTGTCTCATATTTCTGTTCTTTTTTTGTCCTTCATTGTCTCTAATTTTTTTTCATCAAGGTAGCATCTGCCCTTCTTGCCTCTAACCCCCTCATTTTTCAGTTACTTGAACATTCCTGTCCTCTCAGTGTATCTTTAGCTGTATCCATTACTCTGATATCTCTCTCTCCTTCTCCCCTCTGTTTCCACCTCTTGCTGCTCACCCTCCTTTTCTGTCTGTCAGTGTTGCTCTGGCTCTGGTGCAGTGGTGCCTCACAGAGCTTGCGAGTGCTAGAAATCACATCTAGTTATCTAACAGAGACGCCAAACCAAAAAAAGAAACGGGGAGAGCTGTTTGCTGGCACAGCTGCTGTCTTCATTCTGGGTTTCCTGCATGTGTTCTGCAAAAGGTGTCAGTGGTTTTGGTCTCTGTTTGGGGAACTTCTACCTATATGTTGTTGTGTTGCTAATTGGTCCTCCAGAGGATGCGTTTGTATATGTTGGCAAGATGGATGACCACCACTGAGCTTATACTCATGGAAGGCGAGGAAAAGCAGTCAAATTAGCGTTGCAAGCTGCTCAGATGTTGCAGAAAAAATGTCTTTTCTTTACAAGAATGTTGCTAATAGTTTTTCTGAGTGGATTGCATTTACTTAGTCTTTAATCTGTTCTTTTTAGTTTATTCTCAGTTGATTTAATTTAGTTTCTCCTGTGCTTTTTTGTCTCAGTGACAAATTTAGAACCCTCAGATAAAGTGTTTGGAATTATTTAGTTGTTGTACTTGCTTTTTTGTCACAACAACTTACACAAGTAAAAAAAATGTAATGATCAGATTAGGAATTTATTTATACGATGCCAATCAATCTAGATTAACCTGTCAAAAATAACTGAATGCCTTCTAAAAGTGAGGATAAAGTCACAAACTCTTGAATCACTTTTTGGCATAGTGGGGAAATAATTGTCAGAACCTGAAATCAAACAAAACAAGGGATGTTTGTAGATTTCAGAAAAAATAGGATAAAGTAAAATGCTATTAACATCATAGGAAAATTAGTGGTGGTGTTGGAAGAGCATAACTACCTCGGTGTTGACCTGGATGACAGACGTCTACAGAAAGGGACACAGCAGAATTACTTCTTCGGGAAGTCGAAGTCCCTCAGTGCTTGTTGCATGTCTTCATCTGTTGGACTAACAGCAGCAAATGACTCAAGGAAGCTCAACAAGCTGATAAAAAAGGCCGGCTTTGTTCTACAAAGTTTTCTAAAACTAAAAGAAATTTTTAAAAAATGGAGATGTAATTTAGTGCCTCTTAATTAGAATAATTTAAGATCAGGCCCAGAGTGCCTTTAGTCAAAGGCTTCCTCAGATCCGGACATATCCTCCACAGATTATCCTTCCTGCTTACAGCTATCAACATTTAAAAAAATAGTCTAAAGAAAAAAAGTTATTACAGCATTTAACTTCCCTTTAGTAGCAATAAAGTGGGTTGAACAGAATTGAGGCAAAGGAGGCACAAAACATCAAACAAACACCAACTTGTTTATTGTGTGATACTTTTTTTTTCTGTCTCCAATGCTTTTACTTTTCAACACATTTAATAGGAGACATGTCTCCAAAAACTCACACTTTTTTCAGTCCACAGATTATTTATTACTAAATGTGAGGACAGTTGCTTTTGTTCTTTGTGCTTTGATTAGTCGTTGTTTTAACCTTTTTGTTTTCTTTTGTTGAATCATGAACTTAACTGAGGCAAGTGAAACCTGCAGTAATTTTGACATGTTCTGAGTTTTCTTGTGACGTCCTGGAGGAGCTAATTCTGCAACCCAGCCAGTCCTGGAAAGGCAGACTACTGTTCAATGTTTTATTTGTAGATAATGGATCCTACTCTGGTTGGGCTTTGTTAGCCTCCTCAGACCTAAGGGTGTCACAAATCTAGTTTCCTATTTGTTTTTGAAGATCAGGAGATGATGTGTTGCTTTTTATGGTCCGTTAACCCTGTGCTGTCAGACAGGAGTTTGTCGATTCTAAAGGCCTGGCAGTAATTACACCTGGCCATGTTGGTTTGGTCTCTTAAAAAATTAAATCGTCATCTAAAAACTCCTTTTTTTTACTATGATTATTTTTCTCTGAAATTGGCATACAGTATATATAATCTTCTAAAACATGCTGGTAGAACTCTGCCATTGCTTAATGTGCTAGCCATTCCTGGGATTTGTTATTTAACTGCTTACACGGAAAAATGATACACAGTGTGTATTTCTCTAATGAAAAGAAGTCTCTGGAGAACAGACCAGGGAATAAAGGATGTATGTGCTGCACTGAGGGGGATGCTGGAATGGATTCGGGCCAAGCGGGAAAGAAAAGGAAGCATTGCTTCCTTTGTGCTATATTTGGTCTGTCATAAGATAGCTGGTGTGGGAGAGCGGTGCATTGTTTCATAGATCCCCACTTGAATTCTTTCATGAATGCACATACATATTTACATCCACACCTGCATGTAGAAAGGCTGCAGAAGAGAACACAGATGAGGGAGCTTTCCTGCAGAACCAGCGGGTCTGCGTTTCTGTTCCCAATGTTCTTCTATGCAGCTTTGAGCTGAGTATTTGTGTCATGCAAAATGATTTCCTCCATAGAGCCTAATGTCAATGTGAATCTGTCTTGACAGGGGTCTGCTGATTCGTATACCAGTAGACCGTCGGATTCAGACCTGTCAGCCGAGGAGGACCGCGAGGCGTATCGGCGTGAAGCCGAACGCCAGGCACAACAGCAGCTTGACAGAGCTAAGGTACACCGCCAGGGGCGCCTTCACAGTTATCGAAAGGGGATGGTCAGAAGGAACTTCCACCATTTTTGGGTAGAACAACAACATAAATTTGAACAATCTGAATTCTACACAGTATCAATGCTCCTATGGAAAGTCTTTGCAAAGGGGAGAGACATTCAACAAAGTTCTTTGAGCTGACTAGGGTACATGCCTTCTATGTCAATCTTTCAGCCTATCACAGCAGTAGCAGCCAAGATGATTCACATTTTTGATTTGCTTCAAGGAGTTAACAGATAAATCCAACTTTTACTTAATCCGGTCAGGAGGAACTTGCAAACACCTTCTCATCCATTAAGGCAAAAATATTACTTAGGCTTTAAGTAATTGAGGGTATTCCATCTAAAATTTGTAAGCAACCTTTTGAAAGAAACAGATTCAACACTTCATCTCCATATATCAAAAAAATCTCCTCAATATCCAACCAGCACTCTTCCCCTTTCTTTAATCTGTTAATGTTTTCACTCATCTCTGCCAAATCATATCATTGGGGCAAATACAGAATCAAAACTATGGGATATATGCTAGGCAGGGCTAGCAGGATATCGTTGTTGGGTTTTTGTTAAAAATGACGTCCTTGTCTTTCCGGCCACATCCCTGTTGAGACAGACATGCTTTCTTAGCCACACCCTGTGTTCATATAAATACATTTGTTACTGAAACTCATTATTCTGTTTTCACTGAGCTTCCCTTCACACGTGTTGTTTTAAAATGTCCAAAATATATTTCACCAAACATCCAACTCATTAGTGGCCCTCAGTTTTCTCACAAATTCAGACAGACTTATACTGTTTGATGAGGATGGTAATATGTATTTGTTATAGATATTATTTAGCAGCCACAAAGAATCTTATGATCTTTTTCAAAAGTCACCTGAATTGTTTTCACCTTAATTTTAGTTTAGGATGGAAAAGAAAGTCAACACAGTTCAAGTTAGGATATTTATCAGCATCAGAATATTTTCAGCCCAAAAGCCAGGTCTACAAGCTTCCTATGATATTTCCCATCACTGAGGAATGTCCTTTTCTTTCTTATGGATTCATAGTCTAAACCTGTAGCGTTTGCAGTAAAGACAAATGTAAGCTACTGTGGAGCTCTGGATGAGGACTGTCCGGTCCAAGGAGCTGCAGTCAATTTTGATGCCAAAGATTTCCTGCACATCAAAGAGGTGAGTCATGACTTTCTGCTAAAGATGAGAAAGTGCCAGCACGGGTAGATTTAATTTAGAGTGGTTGATCTCCTGACTTTAACAGAAGTACAACAATGACTGGTGGATCGGGAGGTTAGTGAAAGAGGGAGCAGACATCGCCTTCATCCCCAGCCCTCTTCGGCTGGAGGCCATGAGGCTGAAACAGGAGCAGAAACAGAGGTTTAAACTTCACACATTTGCTTTATTTACTTCCTACAACATGTATTTTTTCTATATTTGGAGAGTTATAATCCAACATGTTGCTGCTGTTGCAGGAAAACAGGAGGGAACTCCTCTAGTTTAGGGGACATGGTGACAGGAAGCTGGAGGACCACGCCTCCATCTGCAGGCGAATGTAAGTACTTCAACCCACCTTCCAGCGCTGGGAGATGACCAGAGGCCAGTTTCTGTCCTCCCCTCTACTTAACTGTCTTTGATTGTCATTTTTTGTTTTTACAAGCTAAACAGAAGCAAAAACAGGTATGTTCTAACTCTTTCTGAATACCAAGAAGGGTTTTATAATACAGTTAATTCTGAATTAAGCTAACAATATATTTTCGTTACTATAAAATGTATGTTGTAGGATAAATTAACTATAAATTAAAAATATTTCTTGATCTATGAAGTTTACAAACGCTTGTAGTTTCAGAGGGTCTACGAATATATTTTTTTTATCTTTATTCTAAAGTTGGAAGACTAAATTCCTATTTCTCACACTTCAACCAACCAAGTTTAACACTTGTAACCATATTTAACCCTAAAGCACAGAATAATTGTTAATTGTGTGTAAAACGAAGAAAAGGGTATTTCATTTTGTTATCTTGTAAAAACAACTATATCATGACAACTGATCTTTTCTTCTCTCTCCTTCATCTCTTACTTCCATGCTTACCTATTCCTGCAGGAACATGTCCCTCCCTATGACGTGGTGCCCTCTATGAGGCCGGTGGTCCTTGTGGGACCGTCACTGAAGGGCTATGAGGTCAGCCTCTGAATTTTAACTGCAAGTTTTGTTGGTTACATTAAAACCTATTAGTGAGTTTTGTTCAACAAAAATACACTCTTGATATAAATGGATATTTATATCTGGACTAAATATTGCTTCTTGAGAAGAAATGCATTTGAAAGTTAAGAGCAGAAGTTCTTACTATCAATATCAAATATTCCCTGCTGTCTAAATCTTTTTCCTGTGTATGTGGGTTTGGGTATTTATTCCTGCTGCACCAACCATCATCCTTCTCCTCTGTCCTACCAGCAAAGGTTAATCTCGCCCACTTCAATCCTCTATGTTTACCAAATAAATGGAGATATATTCATCAGAACTATTATTTAACATTATAGTGCCTCTGTTGTAATTGTTAGCTGAGCATATAATAAAACCTATTAAACCCAGTAAGTCTGCTGGTTTGACCCTGCAGGTCGGAAGATTAAAAATGAACAATACAGATAGAGGAGGTGAAGATTTCTAAAAGAGGCATCTAATCTGACCACAGCAAGCTTTAAAGAAGCATCAGCAAATTCTAATGAAACAACAGTGTTTTGGATGTGAGGGTAGAGCTTTCAGAGCGACCTGCAGCAAGAAAATGCATTATGAATAGTTTAAACAAAGTTTTCATAACATTAAATGTATCAAGATGCTTTGACAGCAAACAAACAGTTATTATGTTATCTCAAAGATAACTACTTTGTTTTTGTTTTTTTATAAATAAAACTGGGACTTTTACTTGAGAAGTTTATTTGGTTGCATAACACTAAGTTTTAACTGATGGACAAAATAACTGTGCTGATGGATTTGAATTTAACCAAAGGAGAGGGGGCGGTCATGTTTCTTCTCTGACAGCACCTAGACCGTCCTTATCTGGTGAATAAGCACCAGATGGATGGATGGATGGATGGATGGATGGATGGATGGATGGATGGATGGATGGATGGATGGATGGATGGATGGATGGATGGATGGATGGTTTACCTGCAATGTGCATAAGGACTGCTAAGACTGCATTAAGTGTTAGTTTTTCATTTATCTACAATTAATTCAATCTCAATATCACTTTCTCTATGTTTAAGTTGAGTTTGTTTTAAAGATTTTATTTCAGTAAAGGCTTCTTAAGTATGATAACCAGAGATGCTCTGTTGACATGATCTGAATATTCCACATTCCTTCTGCAAACATAATGTATGTTTGAATAAAAGCATTTTTTTTCTCTGGCAGGTGACAGACATGATGCAGAAAGCTCTTTTTGACTTTCTGAAACACAGATTTGAGGGAAGGTCTGTAAAACCTAACAAACTGAGTTTTATCTGAATTAGACGTTCAACATGAATCTGTGTGTAATTTAATGTGATTTATTTACAGGATCTCCATCACCCGTGTAACTGCCGACCTGTCCTTAGCCAAGAGATCCGTCCTGAACAAAAGACCCATAATGGAGAGATCCAACACACGCTCCAGCCTTGGTAACAGAGCTAATGTCAGCACAAAAATGTCTTTGCTTTGGTGCTGAAGTAAGTATGAGCAAAGTGTATCTCATGTGTGCAGCGGAGGTTCAGAGTGAGATTGAGAGGATATTTGAGCTCGCCAAAACCCTGCAGCTGGTGGTTCTGGATGCTGACACCATCAACCACCCCGCACAGCTTGCTAAAACATCCCTTGCCCCCATCATTGTCTACGTTAAAGTTTCCTCACCAAAGGTCTGTGTTGCTCTGATCATTGACTTCAGGCTCCCTCACCCTCCAAGATTCCTAACTGAGTTTATCCTTTGTCACTCAGGTGCTGCAGAGGCTGGTCAAATCCAGGGGGAAGTCTCAGAGCAAGCACCTGAACGTGCAGATGATGGCTGCAGACAAACTCTCTCAGTGCCCCCCTGTGAGTGCTCCACTATTTGCTCGCTCCCAGTCAGAAACCTTTTATTCACAAGAGTTTACTGTCGAACCTGCATGAGCTAAGATGCTAATTAAGTAATCACTAATAATAATTGTGTAATATTCCTCTGTTTGAGTGAGAGCCACTGCAACAGAGACAAACCTCAATGTTTAAGGAACATACTCATCAGTAGATTCTTGAATTTTTAATCCCTTAGTTGCTACTTTAACTCTTACTTCAGTGGACACCTAAAGCAGCAGGTTCTAAGATAATTTATCCAGTGACAGCAAAGTCAGAGAAATCTTTGAGACCTAACAGGCTAGCACTTTAATCCACATATTTACAAGTTGTCAGTGTCTAGCCCTGTCTGCATTGAAACACCATAGTGATTAATAACCACTTCTGGAAATAAATATAAGTAAGAAAAGCAAACATTCTTGACTATTTCAGGTAGATGTTGCAGTTTTTGCTCAGTTTCTGATGAGCATTTTTACTGTGATAAAAGGGAATTTTCTGAACACATTTTTACCTGCCACCGTGGCAGTGAAGATAGTAGGCTACTCATATCCTTACTACCCACCATCTGTTGCTTAGAAATGCTTCTCATAACCTGCTGTGGGCTTTCAATCTTTGACATTGCTCCAAACTTCGAAATTAAATTTCTCAAAACTTGCATTGAATGAGCTGATCTTGAAACTCACAATAATATTTAAGCTGCAATAAAAACACAAATATGCTGTACTTGTTGGCACATTAATTGAAGAACTCCAAAGCTCTTCAGACTGCATTCAGTATTTCACACACTGATGGTGGTTAGCTACACCAGTGATTCCCAATCAAGGGTACTAGTACCCACACCCACCGATAAGGGTTGGGGTCGGTTGTCCCGGACCCAGGGTAGAGAGGGGGCCCTAAATCAGCCCCTAAATCATTTGCCACAAATATTATTATATTTTAAAGATGTTCGCAAGGAAATTGGAGCTTTATTCTTAAGTTTCATAGAATCTTTTTTCTATTATTACTTTTTTCCAATTATCCACTGCAGTATTGGAAAGTCCATCCATTCATTCTAACTGGTTATGCTGCTGACGCAGTTTCTCTGATCTATCTTTGCCAGATGAAGTTATAATAAAGAGCGGACCAAAGGGCATTGTTAAGAGATTGAGAAGTTTTGAAATTGCCTGACGTGGCTGCATGGCACGTCCAGTGTGCAACAATGCTGCGGTGGAAGTAAATATTTATTTACTTTACAAATCTGTTTAGCGTTAACTTCTTAAGAAAGATTTTGACCGGAACATTTTGTGGTCCAATTTAAACGTCGCACAAGTATAAATCAAACAAGTAAAAATCTATAAATAGGATCAAGTCCGACTGGAGCAGGTATGGAAAGCCAAATTTCATAAAATAAAAACTGGAAAGATCTATTTGTAAATATAAACATTTAAATGTTACCTGAGATGCTTGCATTTTACAAAGAACTATATTTTTTTATTCTTAAATATTTTTCACTTATTTAATTAACTATTAAATATGTTTCTCTTGCTTCCAGAAAAGGTTACTTAAAAAATGTAAGACCTAATTCAAGATTGATCAATCGAGTCTTTATATTTATATATATATATATAGATATATATATATATATATGGCTGTCAGCTGGCCTGCTAGTGCTCCGCCAGTGCATTGCACGGGGTACGTGGAAAACGTTTCATATTTTACTTACCGGATAATAAAAAAAAATGGGATTGATTTTGCGCTTTAAGGACCCAAAAAAGATTTTATCAACCAAAACGATTTAAAAAAATGTCCTAATCATAATTTTCATGAAAGACTACAGTGGGTGTCCGTGCTGTGCACCTACCCTACTTCCCTGCGAGTGAGAGCAGGAAGACAGGGGTCAAGGCAAAGGTCACAAGAGAAGAACGCACCAAAGCAGCTGTAGTCAAGGATAAATGGCTAAAACATCCCATTGCTGGGGATTCAGGAGAAGATGTTTCATTAACATGGTGAATTTGCTTTTTATTAAGTGTTCGAAATAAATGATCAATCAATGATGTAAACAAAGTAAGAACAACATAGTGAATATAAATCTTATTTTTTTTATTTTTTATTAATTTGTCAAGTTTAGATGTGTCTATAGGGGACTTATTCAGAAGAGCTCTGCTTTTTGTCCATAAACGTAGAATTGGAACTTAATTTGATTTTGTGTTTATATCAGTACGTATTCACTTACCTTATTTTTTTATTTCAATTGAAAACAATGAAATGCCTGAGCATTAAATGTTCAGGTTAAGGATATCAAATAAATACTTTTTATTTTATGGTCAGTTGTACTTTTATTTTTGGAAAATAAGACGTAGCCACAGCTGCCCTGGGGCTAACTGACAGAACCAAAACTGTCATACAATCGGAGCGCCCAGGTCCTCCGACCACAAACAGCAGCAAGCTTGGGTTAATGCCTTGCACAAGGATATGGTGACTGAAAGAGCAACCCACTCGTTACATGATGAGCCCTTACCTCCAGAGCCACTATCCCCATGAGAGTGTCAGTGATTGGCCTGTTGGTCCAGAACCGAACAAGTGGATCAAATTACTTTCCTTGTTTAAAAACAAACTAAAAGTACAAACCGAGAGGCCGGATGTAATTAATTTGAGTCCATAATTTCCAATTAATTGGCTTTCTTGCTTTAGTTTGCATTAAAAAGAATAATAATAAATACAAACTTTTTCACAAATAAGTATGTTAAATTGCAATTTAGAGAAACATGTTTTGTATGGGTTCTCTTTCAGGATATGTTTGATGTCATTTTGGATGAGAACCAGCTAGAAGATGCTTGTGAACATTTGGCTGAATACCTGGAGGTGTACTGGCGTGCAACTCACCTGCCTGGAAACACCCCTCTTAACCCCTTACTGGAGCAGAGTCTGATGACCCCACCCTCGGCCATCTCCAGCCTACAGGTACCCTGATCAGTCAGAGTTCTCCGCTGTTGATGCTGGTTAAAGCGTACTGTAGGAGTCTTCTTAGGTTGAAGTTGCCACTGTTTTTACCCGCTGTTACCATCTCAGACTGGCTCATGTGTTTTAATTTGTCTCAAGTTGTCCCGTCTGTCCTCTCGCTCATTCCTACCTCATACCTTTTGCAGTTTTCTGAAACACAGGGATTAATTGAATGATCGCTTACAAAAAAGGGTGAGTAGTGGGGTTTATATGTCATGTATGTGCACTCCCCCCTTTTACAAACCCTCTGACACCTGAACACAACACACCGGTTGAAAGAGCGAATGAGCCATGCTTTTTTCACTGAGGTCTCGCCAAAAAGGTTGTTTTTGTTTGCTTGTTTTTCTTTATTGCACTATGCATTTTGTCCTTTATTTGAAGGTTTTAGGTGAATCAGTATTTACAAGCTTTTAGGGAAATTCATAGTCCAGGGAAGCACCAATTTAGGTCCTAAATGTCACAAATTTTAAACGTCAATATTTTTTCTGTAGTTTATCTTTTGACAGCATGCTTTGTGAATGCCTTTACCACTTACAGTAACACATAGCAGAGCCTATTGAAAGAAAAGGGATCAGCACTTAACCCAGGGGTCTGCAACCTGAGCATGAGGTTCTGGAGAACCTCCAGAACCTCATGTTCCTCTTTGGTCCCTCCACTGTGGCTCTTGTGTTTTAAAAGTACCTTTGTATGTTTTTGTTAGGGCTGGGAAATTAATTGCATTTGCAATAAAATCACAGTTGAACAAATCACAATTTTGAAATCTCAGAATCGCTTAGTTTTGGTCATACACTTATCACTTAGGCCGTTTAGGTAACGCCACATATAAAGAAAGAGAGGTTTGCAGCCAGCACTGAGGCTGAATCCCACACTGGCCCCTTAGCACTAACCTCTGCATCGGTGCAGGCTCGCTGGAACTTGGCAGTGGGAGTAACGGCGAACTAGTGGCGGAGGAAATGCGTGCATTCAAATGTAAGTTCTGCTAGTTTGCTGCATCTTCATCACACTGATAGAAAATAATAAGATAGGAAAAATAAAAAAAGACATTGAGTGTGGCTGTGTCCAAACATCACTATATAGGGTACTATATCGTGATTACGCCATTTTAAACAAATAGCTAAACGTCTAGTGGATGAAAAAGTTGTTGACTTTAAATTTCTCGCAATGCACCTTGAAAAGTAGTGATCATCCATGGTCACTAGACAAGCAGATACATCCCATATTATGGGATTTGTTGTGGCGGCGACAAATGGCAAAGATGGCACATGCATCGTGCAGGGAGGTGGAGTTACTTCACCAAACGGGAGCGAAAAGTAGTGATCATCTGTCCGAACAGTCAATTAACTGAGTTCACAATAAAGTCCACTATAGAGTCCCAGTTCTATACAGTGATTGAGGGTTTTAGGGGTTAGGGCGGATGTTCAGACACAGCCTGTGACTATTGCGAGTGACACTTGGTAGTTAAGGGTTATTTGTTTGGGATTCAGCCTCAGATCTATGCATTCTAGTAGAAGTAAGCAATTTTTTCACACATAGCTTACAGTTAAGACCTGCAACAATGGACTCTAGACGAAACCCTGGAGTGAAACATATACAAGTATGTTTTGCACCCTTTAAAATTACAAAAAAAACTAATATATTTTCACTTATGTGCAACTTTATCAAACAAAATCCATTTTGAGCATACAGTTTACGTATTTTTCTCTGTCTCCGTAAATATACACAGATCATGAACTTTTAACTCCCATCATGCATTGTGTCCTTCTTAAAGGGGTAGTATCATGACTGAAATGTTTGAAATAACAAAAAAAGAAAATATTTTGAGCAATTTTTTAGTCATAAACCAAATGAATTATTCTAACTAAATACTAAATCAAAAAAATGCTTGCCCAATAAGATGATTATACCTATTAATTTAACATTATCACATTCTTAACATATTTCTAGGGCTCTACATATGTGGTCAGTGCATCAAAATTAAATTGCAGTCATAATATTGGTTAAAATTATTGCCATTTAGATTTTTGGCAAAAATGTTTAGGTCTAATTTTTATGCAATATCTGCATACTGTAGAATATCTACAGAATATGTCACTAATGATATTAGCGTCCTGATTAATGAAATATTGATTTTTTTTTTGTCTCAAATGATCTTTCTTCATGTTTCACATCTATAGAAATGTCTCAATTAACTGTCATATTTTACAAGGTTTTTATTTTACTTTTTAAAAATGAAATATTTTATTTCACTGCTGATATGTGAAATTAGTCATCTATCTTTAGTTTCCTTTCCTTTTAAATACAAGGATTCACTTTTCTGCAGCTGTGGACGTAAAATATTGTGGAGTCAAACTGTGGCTCATTGAATTGAAAGTGTTGCTGACCCCTGGCTTAAACTGTGTGTTTTACTTTGAAATTAAGGTATTCAATGAACTTAGCTTATTATATCTGTGCATTGACTTTCTGTGAGCAGCAGTCTTTGGTTTGAGCACCTACTCAATTCTTTAAGTTGTATCATAAATTAAACAGAAGAGCTTTAACCAACTCAGGCTTATTTCCCTCATTTTAGAACCAGTAGCTCCATCTTTCTTTATGTATAGAAATTTAGTAAAAGTCACTTTGGACTAGGACTTTAGGACTAGGACTTTTAAAATAATGTTTTTTACACCAAAAAAACTGTTTTGAAGACATCATCTCTTTTGTTTTCACTGCCAAGAGATTAATTTGTTGAAACTAATGAGCTCCCGTTGGTTGGCATAATTTCTTCAGCAACATCTTGCAAAAACAAATTTTTAAAAATGAAACGCTATTGTTGAAGTATATACAGTAAAACATAGTGAAACAACACAACCTTATAACAATACTGAAAAAAAAGTTTGAATCAGATTGATTAAACATATAGCATTCCTGTATAATTAGCCTTTTTTTTTAAAAAGTTATAGTTTTTAGACCAATTTTTCCTTTGATTTTGTCATCTTTTTCATCACCAAATGAAGATGAAAGTTACCTCAGTGGCAGTTTTTATATAGGCCACATTGGCAGTTACCCAGGGCAGCATTCAGAGGGTGGGCTCACAAATACCAAATTACAAAGTATAACTTAAATATGTTTTTGTTTGTCTGTTTTGCTTTATATCTTATGTGTAAGTTGGTAGTCCTGGCTTACTGCTAGGAACTAGGATGTAAGCAGTGACATGTTTTCTGCAGGAATGCACTTTTTTTATCCTTATCTCAGGAGACTTCTTATATTTCAGTCGTAAAGAGGGAGCAGCAGATGGAGTGGCTCAACCAGGCTTTCATTTACATATAACCAAACTTTTTTTGAAAAAAAAAAAAAAATTTTTTAAAACCAGTTTTAGCTTCTGTTTTGCTCAAGTTTTTAAAAAGTAAAAGAAAGGCCTGATTTTGTTCTTATAAATGGATTCAGACAGAATAATCTAGTTTAAAAAGCTATTGACTTATTCAGTTGTTCCTCCTGATTACTTGATTAAAATTGCTGTAAAAATGAAAGCAATGCTCGGATGGTTTAATTCTCAGTTATTGTCTGAATTAATAAAAAAGAAAAAAAACAAAGAAATTATTTAATATAGCATTTTAACCATAATGCTATGACCACCAACAACTTTCCTAGAACCTGAATCCTGACATTTTCTCCTCTATGTTGATGATGCGCCATCATGGCGGCTCATTGTGTTTAACTTCAGAAATATAATGACAAACCTTCACTTAATGCTTCTGCACTGGTGTTGTTGTTTTTGACAATACAGCCTTATTGTTCACCACCTTCAGATAAGCTTTTTAAAATTACCATTAAACCGTTCCAGCATGGCAGTTTTTTTATTTGGTTTGGGGTTTGTGGTTTGGTGTGGGATGGAGAAACAACTGCAGTAAAATGTGTCTCTTTTAAAGTGACATTTTTGCTTGTCAGATGGGTTTTGAAGGGGATTCTGGTTGTATTTTGATCTGTCATATATCCTGTTAACGTGACTATTGTGGCACTATCATTCATGCAAACATAGGCCTCTTCAGATTTGTACAAAGAATTAAGAGGTTAACAATAATTGACCAGATTGCAATAACCTAAATTACAGTTCTTCAAATATTTCTTTCTAACTGTAAAATATGTAAATAAATTCCTAAACAAAGTACATTTATGTATTTTCAAGTCCACAATGTAGTTAAGCCCAATGCTTGCATGACTTTTTACCTGGATAAATACCTAAAGGAATCACAAATCAGGATAAAAAGAAGTTCTGATCATTTAAGATTGACTTCCTCAGATTCCTTTTAACATCCAGCATTTGTAGTTAGTTTCTTTTAACCTCACCTCTGTCTGATGTCAAAGTCTTACAAGGATTGTTCAGATTTTTTTTGAAGGGTTCTATGAAGTTGTATTTGTTATGTTTCTGCTAAGTGTTAGTCAGGGGAACACTGTGCTTTCCATAATTATTCTAATTTATAACAACTAAAAACTGAACCTTTTCCTGTCTGTGGGATACAACAATAGCAGATATAGAAATGAGCTAAACTTTAACAAGAAGCTATAAATTTGTATTTGTTTTTTTAACTTAAAACATTGTTGCTACTAAGCAAAAAATATTCAACTTTTGTTTTCTTTCATAAATCAAAGTGACAGTTTGCTTTAAAAATAAAATACAATAACACAAAACTTAACTTTATCTCTCGGAAGTGAACGTGGCAAATGAGGAAGAAACTTAAGCGTCTTTTTCACTGAAAGTGCCTGGATTTGTTCTATCCAGGTAATAGGAATCTTAGGGAATCCACCATCCTGCTTATAATTCTGAAAGACATTTATTTATATTAATCAGTCAGAAAAAAAGCAATTAGGTGGTGATAAACCAGCAAGTTCTACCCTCTACTTTGAGTGCTGTGTTTAAAAGGCTCTATTTTCTGTTGTTATTTAAACTGATATATATGTATAAATATATCTACTGACCTGATATATCACCAACTTAGAGTTATGCAGTTGATCAGTTCATTCCATTTTTAAGCAATCTAAACCCCTTAGTCATTCAGCATTTTTTATTAACCTTCATCAGGCTGGAGTCATTTCATGATTCATTTACAATAACTATTTAACGCAGAGTCACTGATTTTAAGCTGCTTTTCTTTTGTCATAATAATAACCCACTAAATCTCATATTATATATCTACAGCACTATTTTTTTTTTCAAAATGTCATTCACTAGAGTCAGTGAGTCGACGATGGGTGGACTCAAAAAAGAAATGGAAAAGGGGGAAATGACCCTGGGTAGGAAAAAAGTTGAGTTTCTGCTTGTTAGCATCACTGAGTCTTTTGGATCAAGGCTGTAAGAATATAGAAGGACAGCAAGGGCAAAAAGAAACTGGCTCTTTGCATTTCATTGTTCTATTGTTTACATCATGTCTGTGTATTCTTTAGGCTTCAATTATGCCTAACTTTATTGCATATAAAATAATACAGAAAAATTTGATTTGAATTGTAATCTTTGCACAACACTTAGCATGCAACAAGTTATGCAAAGTTTAAATTTAAAAAATGTTTTAGAAAAAAAATGTATTTGTCACTTTTGGACTTCCATACTTGAAGACAGCAGACAGTTGTAGTTTTTTGTTGTTGTTTTTTTTCAATACGTTGTTTCTGCAGGCTCCTTGTTTAACATAAACCATGCTAAAATAGATTAACAATATGCAAACAATAACTATTTGATTTATTTACAAAAAACTATATTATTTTTAAAGAGGGATATACGTATATCTTGATAGACTTGAGTCCCTGCTGATCAGGCAGGTTGGTACAGCCAGCAACCTTAGTTGCATGTTAAAACAGACATTGTTTGTCTGACTAAAAAACTTCACAGAAGCTTCTTGTAAAAGTACAAATGCCAAATATCTACAAATGTAACATGTAGCCCACAGATGTAAAGGTTTTCCAAAAAACTGTGTAAAACCAGCCATTAAGGAGATTAATGGTGGTCTGACCACTGTTAGATGTCCAATACCTGTTTGCTCCAAGTTTTCTTTACATTGGCAGAAATTCATTATAATATAAAATGTCTGCTATAGGTTAGAAAACTGTAAACCGCTAACAGCTTCACAGGACCTTTACCTCCAGAAAAATCAGAACTATTCATTGAAGCCACTTTAAAGTTTTAGTTTTCTTTTAGAAGTGTCTTTACCTTCCCTGCTTTCTTCATGACAATCTTAATTCTCTAGAACAAGAACAAGACACAACCACGAGCAGCAGTGGGCCTGGAGGCTGAGGAGGAGGAAGAGGAGGCGGCGGAGGAGGCCCACTCTCCGCTGGAGCAGGACAGTCTCATGCCATCTGATGAGGCCAGTGACTCCCTGTCCCGTGGCCACAGGGGAAGCCCATGCCACACTGGGGTAGAGGAAGATGAGGAGGAGGAGGAAGAAGAGGAGGAAGAGGATGGTTACGCCTCGCCCTGTCATAGCCGCTCATATAGGGACAGGTACCCCTCCCACCGAGGGCATCCATGCAGCGACCACAGCACCAATGGGCATGAGTCACAGGACAGGCTGCTCCAGCGTGAAGCTCAGCAAGGTCACAATCAGAGGAACAACCGCCAGCGCAGCCGCCCTTGGCCCCGAGACAACTACTAAGTTGCTAACAAGGTCCCCCCCCATGCCCTCTGACTGATGCACAGCTCCAAACGAATTATTTAATCGTAAAACATTTATTGATCATCTAACTTTATACTTTACAGTTAGTTGTTGTTAATCCTCCAATCACATATTTTATGTAAATTGAGATGAATATTACTCATCTCTTTGGGGTCAAACAATTACAGTTGAATTCAACAGGGCTATCCACCTCTACAACAGAAAGGTTTCAGGCTACCGGCTGAGTGCAGACTCAGACGTTAGCTGCTTTGCCTAAAGTTTCTCTATTGTAGGATGTCGCTTATACAGGCCTTAAAATTCCTAAGACTTTTAACTATCTTTACTATTGCATGTATAATTATTTCAAGACGATTTGCACATTACTGCAGTACAGAAGGTGAATGATCTTTATGGAATAAAATAATGTAGGAATGTCCTGTGTTTGAGCCATTTAGGGTTAATTGTAATGCATTTGATTACAATGTATATACTAAATGGGCACCTGGTTTTGTTTCATTGCTACTTTCTTTGTCTGATTTTGCGGTTATGGGCAGATATTTGTATAAAAAGCACCTCATTATGTCACCATCAATGCGGTACATTCCAGACATCTCTTGTCTTTGCTGTTACACAATCACAGACACCTCTATAAATAAAAAAAGGGCAAATAGAATGTAAATACAACCAAGGAAGGGTATGTTCAGAGTATTATATGGAACACGTTCTTTGCCAAAATGTTTGTTTACACTAATTCATTCAAATATTTCAAGCACATGCTGCTCAGCTGCAGCTCCACTACAAATCGATGCTTCACCGAATGTACGCTCGCATGCCTTTTGCACCTCCAGCACCACCTGGTTTCTCTGACCCGACCGAATGCAAGGAAATCTGATTGTAGCACGTTAACTGATTGTAGCATCCACTCTTCCCGCACAGATCGCACCCTCTGTGGGAAAACAAAACAAAAAAACGTGGTGTCATTTATGTGTATACTGCAGTTTTAAAGGCCGGTTTTTGCAAAGGAGGATCCTCAGGTGTCAAGTCCTCAGCTTCACATTACAAACTCGTTGGGCTTTTGAAGGACTCGTAGCACCCTTAGCGCCCTTGTCAGTTCTCTCCTGTGTGGGGCGACAAGAGAGCTGAGAACCTGTGACTTTTTGAGTGAAAAGCGTCAAGAATGTGTTGTTTGCATAATGCTGAGGCATTAATGTGGCGGGGGTGGTTTATTGGATTTTTTGCATGTAAAAACAATGTGCAAACAACATGTCAGCAACATATTTTTGGCCCCATTTGCCTTCCATACTGGTCAGCCTTTTCTGTTATGGAAAGCAAGAAATGCCAAAACATTTTTTTTTTTATGTATAGGCTTTACACATGCATGTCGTGTGTTAAAATAATTTTACATTGGGTACAATTTGATAAGTATTGATTATGGAGGACATATCCTGCAATAATTAAATATACATGAAGGAATAAATATGACTCCTAAATATAACCCATTGGCAAAATTATAGCTTTTATTTTCAATTTTTAATATCACTTTTTAAGTATACCTCTAATTTTAATCAGTTTGCTGCAGTTAGTGGCTTAATAATTCAAGTTAAAGGCTATTATTTTGCCAATAGATTATTTATGAGTTTTTTATTTGATGTATTTTTAATCATGGCAGGATTGGTCCTCCATAGCTATGTACCTAACACAAAAAATATATATATATTTTGACAGAAGCACATTTTTTAGGGCTCCTGGCTTTTGACGCAGAAACGGACTGATACAGTGTAAGAAAAGCCAGAAGGGACACAATCACCTGACTTTTTCAGCTTGTCAAGGCTTTACGTCGTCGTGTTTTGGCACATTCCTAACATGTTTTATTCTCATTGTTTTTGTGGGAAATTTCGTGTCATCAACGCACACAGATTGTGTTTACATGGAAACATTTCGACCTTACAGTCACAATTTTTGGCTGTCTTTGCCCTCCTTAATACCACTCTGTTTCCAGTCACCGAGCCAGTTAGACATGACTCTTACGCAGGGTCAGTGTTTACTCGTTTTACGGCTTCCACGTCACCAGTATTTATCCAGTGTTCTGTATATTAAAAATAATTTCTAAAAAATCCGCATGGTTTAAAAAAGAAAAAAATCTATGCAAGTGTTGCATGAACCTCTGGTTGTTTCTTTTTACAGTTAAGTATTTTAGTAATGCATTGGCTCTGACTTTTCTCGTCGTCTCGTAGTGATGATAGTCTTGTCTTTAGGGGCTACTCACTCCTTATTATCAAATTCCTGAAAATTTCTTTCCCTCCCGAAACACCACAGTAAGAGATTCCCCACAGTATTTGCTTGTTGCACTTTTAGGTCACTCCTCAGTAAATAGTCCCAGACCAAGACTATGACAAAATGAGTGAGTTCTGCATGTCAACAATTAGCTACTTGATTATACTTTGGCGAAATATGTTTTTTGAAGCGGACCAATTTAGCAACTAATAAACAGTTGAGGTTTTTCAATTTTGAAGCACAATTTTTACAAGGGTTCTGATTTAATTTTCTCTGTCTTATTCTGTATGCAATATGAAGCGTAACATTGAAAAACTTAAAACGCCTTAGACCATCTGGACTTCCTCTTTTGTGTGAGTAGAAAAAAAAATATTGCACTACTTTGTTTTTTTGGGATGGTTGCTTTGTAATGCAATAACTGCACTAAATATAACCATATATCCACCAGACTACCACAGCGTGCTAGCGTGACCCCAACACGCCTCTTCCCTTCTGTATATTAAAAGAGGCAGAGATGGTGGAAAAAAAAAAAGAGACCTTTTCTTGCCTGAAGCTGTATAGAATGCTTTCTATTGGAAAACAGATTTACGATGATGAGTGAAATATGAAATAAAATAAATAAACATGACTTTTATGTACTTTTAATGGTTTGAGTTTCCTTTGTTTTATAATACAAATGATAATTGATTGGTAAATTATTCTAACTGGGAAAAGAACATTTCAGATTAGCCTCAGCAAATGCAGCTAAATGCCAAGGCGTAATTCAAATAATTAAAAAAAAATGTTTTATTTTGCCTATTATATGACTTATTAATTAATAGATAGCTCTAAGTGATAAATAACTTACAGAGCAAAAGTAAAAGAAAATGCATTACGTACAGGAAATTGGAGGAGTTTATTATGGTAACAAGAATATATATATGCTATATTAATGTAAAATGGGTCCTTTCAACTTTACATGGTGGATAGATAAAATGTCTTGATCCAGTCCTGTTTTTTATAATTTACTTTAAACTTATAGGTCAAATAAAAATACCCCTTAAATCTGCCTTATAGTGATAGTTCTCATGCATCACATCTTTGAATGAGGGACAATAGGTGCAGAATCAAGTTATCTTAAAGAAAAAAAATAAACACACACACATATATGTATATATATATATATATATATATATATATATATATATATATATATATATACACACACACATATATATATATATACCTATAATTTTTTGTTGCAATATTTTTTACCAAAAATATTTAGACTAGACTTTCTAAATCATTGAAAGATCTGAAATCACTAGAAGGGTTTGTTCATATCTTAGAGGTATCAATGAGAGCAAAATGTGCTGTATGTGCCTTAGAAGTTACCACTGATCAGAACAGGATCAAAATATTGAAATTCAAACAGACGTAGCATTGCTGCTAGGTCTCAGGTTCACATCCCAGGTCTGGAGTTTTTCTGGGTGGAATTAGCTTGTTCTCTACAGGTACTCCATCTTGATCCCACAGAAGAAAAAAAAAAACTTGGGTAGGAGAGGAAATCTTGCAGGGCTGAACCGAATCCAGATGTCATGACGGGATAGATAAATGCATAAATGATCCCTGTGAGAGCCAGGTCATGAAAGTCAAAGAACCACAAACACGTTACATAACATGTAACATACGGATTCATCTTTTTATGAATCCAAAACCAGGTGTGTACATTAGCATGTGTCACAAAGAGTAAATAATTTATTTTTGCTAAACTCAATGAGGTAGGCTGTACCTATATGTCCCTTTAAAAAAAACATCACTTCTGCTTTGGCTGAGGTGTCCTTACCAATTTGCCACATTCAGATGACCTTTAGTTTCCTGGTCTCCCTAAATGACCCTTAGGTAGGAGTTAGCACGGCTGCTTCTCCAGTGTGTCTGTGCTGCGTCTTTGTGCATCCAACCTCTCAGCAAATGACTACCGGTACTAAAAATGGTCAGCAGGCCCCTCCAACAACCTTTGGAGGGTAAATAGTTGTAGATATTGATGGATTGATTAGTTTTACATCAAGTATTTTTGAGGCGTTCAGACTTTTTCCTCCAGTTTTTTTATGAACATCTTTGACCAATTATGAACTGGAACAATTCATTGTACACAAGTGACAATATTTTAATATTTTCAAGATACCTGAGAGACAAACACCAATTAATTCTTATGAAGTCACATCATAAAAATTTAATAGTCCAGCATTGAACTCCAAACATCCAAAACACAAGAAATGTACATTTAATCTGTTATTGGTCTTTTACATGTTCAGAGGATCCAGATAATGGTGACAAATGTTCACTAAAACAGCACCTACTTCTATACGCCCTCATCACTGTCAGCTATTAATCATTTGTTATTTATACAGTCCCCCTGGGTCTTCATGAAAATAAACCTAAAAAGTAAAATGTGTCTAGTCATCTCTTCCTTTTCAGATGGTCTGAAACATCACCATAGCAGGATAGGAATGGAAAAAAAAAAGAATTTACATGATGACTGGCAGAAACTTGCAGAGTCCTGTGAAAATTTTAAACTAATAAATCAGGCAAAGATGGTCTCTTCACGCCTCTTCTTTGTCAGGATAGTTCCGGGTTTGTGTTGAGCATCTGGGTGGTTTGTTAGCTCCGGAGGGCAGGTGGAGACCGGGCTCTCCAGGATGGCCTGCTTCAGATCATAGAACACTGCAGAGTCCTCTTTGGTGAGGAACGTCATGGCCACACCACTCTTACCCGCACGACCAGTACGACCAATACGATGGATGTAGTCTTTAGGAGAGATACAGAAGACTTGGTTCCTTTTCTATCGTTTTTAAAATGACTGAATATCTTTGAAAACAGCGAGGCCACTTACCTTCAATGTTCTTAGCCATGTCGTAGTTAAGGACCATAGAGACATCCTGGATATCGATACCTCGACCAGCAACGTCTGTCGCCACCAGGATGTCTTTGGCTCCAGCCTTGAGATTGGAAAGAGCAAACTCTCTCTGCTCCTGGCCTTTGCCACCATGCAGCGTGCACGCATTGTACTAAAGAAAAGCAAGAGGAACGTTTATTTTAGTGTGCATTCATGAAGTCATGTTACACCGTTGTTGTCTTTGAGAATCATTTAATTCCCATTTATTACAGTTACTCACCCCCATCTTCTCCAAGGACTTTGCCAGTACATCACAACCCTTCTTCTGGTTGACAAAGATGATGATTGGAGGCTCGAAGCCGTGCGACAACACCTCCAAAAGCTTCTTCCTGTGCGGCACAAGAAAAACAAGAAAACACTCAGCAACACTGAAGTGATTGCAGGATTATACAGGAATGAGTAACTCTAATGTAATGCGTTTTTAAGCTCTTTCACTGCTCTTAGAAATAATTTTAATGCCATGATCAAGTGCCCATGACTTTCATATATACACAGCAAAATCCATCGTCATCTTTACCATCAACAGGCTGCTGCCATGTCCCGAATTCCTTGATTTCAAAACACTTTGGTTAAAATTTGTATTTTCCCATTCTCTATCTTTTTCTCCGCCTCAAGCTTCTTTTCCGAACATACGGCATTAAAAATCAACCAGAAGCAGTTCTGTGCAAATATATCGCAATATATCTGATTGATTTCTTTAAACTCTTTTTATTCCTTTTTAAATAAAGCATTTTAAATGCCACGATAATCACATTTAATGTATTTTAATGCCAATTCAGTCCTTAATTAAAAAAATTATAGTTGAATGACTTTTAATGATTTTTATTGACCCGCGGAAACCCTGGAGTGAGATCTTGGGTTGTGGGATTGGTTTTTCTCTCACCTCTTCTCTCCCTCTGACATGAGCAGGACCTTCTGTTCCACTCTCTCATGGGGTTTTCCTGCAGAGCCGATGTACACCACAGCAGGACGCCTCAAGTAGCTCCTTGCCAGTCTCTCCACAGCCGGCGGCATGGTGGCGGTAAACATGACAGTCTGTAAAAAAATAAAAAATATCAAGAAGACACTCAGAGAATACCTGAGACCAGCTGAGGTGTGGATCAGAAATAGTCACATACTTGTCTGTATTTATGTTTCCCAGACTCAAAGTTCATTAACATTTTCTCAGGGTCCTCTGCTTCTTCAGTGTCCGGTTTCTGATTGGTCACCGGAATGTACTCCAGAATCTTCTGGACGTCGGGCTCAAAGCCCATGTCAATCATACGATCTGCCTCGTCCAGGACTACATATGTGCAGCGGCCCAGGACCAGGTAGCGGTTCTCCAGCACATCTATCAGACGACCGGGGGTAGCTATGACTATCTGATGGAAGAGGAAAAAACACAAACAAACAAATTATAAAAGCAAAATATTTGTGGCACTGGGTAAAAAAATCAAGATCTCACATCATGTCACATAAAATGCCAATTTGTCAGAACACAAACAAATACTTATTGTTGCCCCAGCTATATAAAATAAATGGTTTGTTCCACTTAATGTATTTATACTTAAGTCCAAATTTTATTTCAATGCTGAGATTATGTACTCCTGTTTAGGATAATAGATGTTTCTTTGTGGTCAAATGACAGATCTACAACCCAATTTACTTCCTTCAATTCTGACTTCAGTCACTGAACACAAGTTGTCTTTGGTACCATGTTGCATATAAGAAATAATCCTGAGTATTTCACCTCACAGCCCATCCTAAGGCGGAACCCTTGGTCTTCTCTGGAGATTCCTCCAATCACGGCCACTGTTCGGATTCCCAGGGGTTTACCAAACTTGATGGTTTCCTCTTCAATCTGCTGAGCCAACTCACGTGTTGGTGCCAGAATCACCGCATACGGACCCTGATCGGAGTCTTCGATCCTGCAACACACAGAGCAGGTGGCTGTTTTTAGACAGGAAGGACTCATAACACAGTGAGAGACGGATTAACAGGGTTACTGAACACTGATGGAAGGTTATCTGTGCTACCTGTCAATTTTTGGCAGAGTAGTAATCCAGACCAGAAGTGGAATGAGGAAAGCAGCAGTTTTACCGCTGCCTGTTTCAGCCACCCCGATGATGTCACGGTTCTGTAAGCCAATAGGAATGGCTTGCCTCTGAATTGGAGTTGGGTCCTGAAGGTTAAATTTAAGCAAAATAAGACATCAGACAGGGTTATAGACATGGAATCTAAATCTCCAAACAGGATTAAGGCAGAGCTGTCCATTATACCTTATAGCCGCATTTGTCGATGACTTCCAGGATGTGTGCAGGGAGTGAGTACTCCTTCCAGTTCCTGATGGGGTTGGGGATCTTCCCTCCCTTGGTGGTGATACTGTAGTCCTCCCTAAAGATTCGCCAGTCTCTGTCTGTCATCTCATCCAGCTTCTTCTGAGACCAGTGCCTGTCGTCCCAGCGCTGCTTAGCCTCCTTCTTACGCACCTTCTTTAATCTTGTCCTGAGTGGAAGACAAGGTTCAAATCCCTCAACGGAAAAAAAGGAAAGTCTTACCATTGACCCTGATGGCTTTTCACATCACCATACTCACTCTTCCTGCTCCTTCTCTTCCAGTGTGCGTCTCTTTTCCATCAGATCGCCGTAGAAACGCGACTGCTCTCTTTTCTGCTGCTTTA